AAGCAGTCGTTTGACAATCGTGTCACTGAGTCCGTAGATTTGTTTGGCTTAGTTGCCGTTTGACTAAGCTCATAATATATATATATATATATATATATATATATATATATATATATATATATATATATATATATATATATATATATATATATATAATTTTTTTTTTTTTTAACATCATAATAATGATGAATATAGTAGCATTGCAGCCATGGCAGCCGTTTAATTGAGGCACCGTTCATGGCTCTTACCGGCTGACACTGTTGGAGCAAAGCTACCCAATGCCGCCTGAGTACACTAATGTAAAAGATGATGCTCAGCCGGCACAAAGTCCGTCTGTGTATGCTAACACAAGAAAAAACTTGGCCTCTTGTGTATGCTAACACAAGAAATCAGCTAGGCTGTCTAGGTAGCTCAACGGCTGGTCCTAGAAGGTATATGTCATCCATACACTTGATACCTTGATGCTCAACCCGGTTGCCGACTTGCGTATGAATCTATAGCATGTAGCATTGGGTGTATTGAGCAATGTTGAATGAATGTGCCGCATGACACTCATAGGCGGCTTTGAATGATATACAACCGTGGAGCTTACTTTCAATGTGGTGAATATACAAGCTGCTCATGAAAGTATGTATTAAAACTTGCCTCCTATGCTATTTTAATGCATGATGACTCTAGTGTAGCTTATGAAGCTTAATGAATCAAACTTGCTAGCTGTCAAAAACTTGGGAGTACGGAAATGCATGAGTATACTTGCCGCATGCATGTACCCCACTAATAACAAGAGTTTACTCTTGGATAATATTACGTGTGTAGTAATACAATTTGTGTGATGTTGATAGTATCAAACTATCAATCACCGATAGCATGTCACCACCTGACTGAGCATAAATGTCGGCTGTATGATCCGGCTGGGTGGCCTGAGCATGCGGCCGGCTCATTAAATGAGTCGGATTAAAATAGTGGAGTTGGCCAATTTAGCCGTCTCTCCCCAAATAAAATTTATTTTAAACGGCATTTGCCCTTTAACCTTCAAATATGCATGACTTAGTCTGACAGGCCTTTTTGGTCGCCTGACTCTCAACATTCAGCCTCATGACACCTGTTGTACTTGACATCCGGCCTCATGACGCCTACTGCCTCCCAAAGGAGGCTCCTCTCTTGAGTCGGTGATCCACAACCGTTGTGCCATTACAGATGTGTCTCCCCACAGACGGCGCCAAATGTTTTGGAGTTTTTTGTACGTACCCGAATGGAGGGTGTGTACGTCCCTCGGGAGACAGATCCGCAATGCAACACTCGAACGAACCGACCACCTGCAAAACAACCGACCCCGGGGGGCCGTAGGTCCGCCTCCGACGATCAAGTCAGTGACCGAAATAATGTATTATAGAGAGAGAAAGTAGAGAGAAGGGAGAGTAAATGTGGGGGGCATTGCCCTTGGAGAGAGAAAAAGGAGCCCCTAAAACTGATGTAATAATCAGTATTTATAGAGCATTGGGATATGTGCCTCTTAGGTTATTTAACCTAAGTAGATTGGCTTCCCATCGTTTTACGGTTTCTAGGGTTGTGGGCTTAAAGTCCATTTTCACCCTTCTATCATTGAGTGACACGTGTCATGCTCTAATTGGCTCATTGAGTGTTGAGCTTGCGGACACGTGTCGAGGTGGCATTGGTCCACATATAGGGGGTATTTTTTACCCCCAAACACCACCGACCATCCGGCGGTCCGTTTGCTTTGCAGGTACAGGCGCCCTTTGCTGAATCCAGTCTTAGTGTTGTGGGGAGAGTACCTTTGAAAAGGCTTCACAAGTCCCTGTACCGAATCCTGAGACCAATCGGCCTCGATAAGACATAGTGGTCCAGACGGACCATGACTCAGGGGACGACGCCGACGTCGAAACCTATGTGGATCCTAACGGGTCCCTCATCTCAAGACGCATCCACAGTAGGGAAAAGCGGGAGCGTCACACTGATCAGGCGGGGCCAAGCAGAACTGTTGTTCAGCCAAAAAAGACCTCGGTGCGGACGGGTGATCCTTCCCAGGCGGCAGGATCAACTCCCGTCACTCGAGATGAACTCATGAAACTCCTGAGTAGTCTCAGGGGTGAAATCAAACAACTCGCCTTAAAGAAGTCGCCTACTCTTAGAAAGGAGCACTCGGCCAAGAAGCCAGCCCAGACTAGCAAACAGAAGTCGGTCAGGGACCGCCAGCCGACTCCTCATTCTGCCCCTACGGAGAAGGCCTGGCCCTAATTCAACTTCACCAGGCTCCGTTTCCCAGAATTGGGCACAAGAAAAGCCATCCGGCACATACAGCCAGATGATAGCAAGAAAACATTCTCTGATGCTCGACATTACATTGAGCAGAAGAAAACCCAGCTATCAGAGTTGGCTTCAACGTCAACCTACCATGATAGCTTTCGGAATACCTCTGTGAGGTATTCCCAATCTGTACATGAGACTCCAGCAAGCAGCCCACGGGTTTAGTCTGGCCCTCATGTAATCCAGTCGGCCAGTACATGGCTCCGCCATTGTACCAGTCGCTGGCTTTACCTTACATGCAGATTGCCCTCTTTGTAGGACAGGCTGCAAAAGACTATCAGCAGATGGACTAACAGCTCAGGCTGCAACACCTTGGAGATCAACCCTCTGCCTTCTCTAGGGAAATAACTGAAGCCGAACAGCCGGCCAAGGTTAAAAATGTTCTGGTTGGAACCTATGATGGGACCTCCAACCCAGAAGACCACCTGCTAGCATACACCCACCTCGTTGTTTTCCAGCCACCCTGAAGGGCATAACCTAACAGTGGTTCGGCAATCTGCCAGCTGGTTGTATTAATAGCTTCAAGACGCTTGCGTTCTTGTTTGCTTTAAACTTCTCTATGAACATCCCTGCAAAAAGACAAGCCTTGATTTGGACAACGTACAGCAGGGAGATAGAGAAGGTCTGCAAGGACGGGTTCAATCTGGTACGAATCCAGATTCATGGGTTGTCTGATGAGGTTGCCTTCACAGACTTCTTTAAGGGTCTGAAGGACGGGTCTATTTTTAATTATGAACTCGTCCGCAAACAAATTTTCACTCTGCAAGGAGCCTTACGAGAGGCGGAGGCCTATATACAGGCGACCGAACTTTGCTCCTCCAATAAGCAGTCGGACCTTAAGAAGTCCGACCGACAGAAGGAGAGTCGGCCTACTCAGCCGACTCTTAAGCCAGAAGACAGAAAAAAGAAAAAACAAATCTGGCCATTGATAACTCTGATCAACCGGCCCAGAAGAAGAAAAAAGAGTGGAAACCGTACGTCCCAAGGTACCAGTTCCACCAGGACTGCTGCTCCATCCTCTTGGAAATTAAGGATCGGCTGACTCTTGAGAAGCCGACCCCTATGAAAGGTTCCACTGAAAATCGAAACAAAAACAAGCATTGCCATTTCCATGAGGATGTCGGCCATGACACGAACGACTGCTTCAGTCTCAAGTGGGAGCTCGACAGTCTGGCCGACAAAGGACAGTTGAAATCCTATGTGAAGTCCAAACCGACTTCAAAGGCAAATCCTGGGCAGTCCAAGAAAAAGACTCCCCAGCCTGCTGTGAGTGCCGAAACTGATGAAGATCCGGTATACACCATAGTAGGTGGATTTCTCGGGGGTGGCCCGACCATTAGGGGCACCAAGGACCATCTGAGAAAGATGGTCAATTCTGTTGAAGAAGGAGAGGCGGCTGGTACATCCGCCTTCCCTAAAATTGTCATCACCGAGCAGGACAGAGGCAAAGTCCGTCGGCCGCATGATTACCCTGTGGTCATTGAATGCAAGGTGGCCAACCAGCTGTTTGGTCGAATTTTGATTGACACATGAAGCTCCTCGGACCTCATCAGCCTCAAATGCTTATCCAATCTCAAGTACAAACCGGATAGCAGGATGGAGGTCTCCCATACCCTAGTTGGGTTTGGGGGAGGACTTGTGCACCCAGTCGGACGAATTGACTTAACTGTCCGCCTGGGGAACATGGGAGACGATCGGCACATGACTATCCGTTTCCTAGTGGTTGAAGAGCTCACAGCTTGCAACCTCATCTTTGGCCGACCCACTCTAAATGAGTGTAAGGCCGTCATCATCCCTGCTCTGATGCTGCTCATGTAGGAGAAGGATGATGGAACAATCGGTTCCCTCAATGGGGACCAGAAGACGCCTCGAGAGTGTTATCTCCCGGACGTCAAGCCCGCGGCCACAGCATCCGGCCGGGGCAAGCAAATAATCGACCTTGACGATGTCGAGGAAGAACAGTCGGCCCCACCAGCCGGAAAGAAAAGAAAGACTAATCAGCTGGTGGTGGTCTGATGTGTAAGCAAGTTGAGAAACTTGTTTCCAAATGACCGGGAATGTGTGTTAAGAAGGTTTAGGGGAACTCTCACCCTTAACTTGAGGATATAACAGTGAGGAACACTCACTCACGTGTTTGGGCGTAGTAGTGATTAGGGAACTCTCACCTATTCGACAACTACCAGTTTAAGTTTTAGGAACTCTCACTAAAACACAAACTCTTCAAATTGAGGTAACTCTCAAATTTGGAAAATAAACTTGACTAGCACAAGCCAAATTCGGATTATACACTCGTGTGTTTTTCGCAAATTTCTGGAATCCCTTTCATTCATTATTAGCACGCTATTTATAGCTTTTCGTACATCATACTTAGCTAAAATAAACAAGAAAACAGAAAGATGAAAATAAGGGTAGATTAAGTGGCTCATAACCGTCCAACCTAATCCCCATTACAACTATTTATTTCTATAATTAAGAAAGCTTAAAACAAGGGAAGCATAGCTAAAAATAAGGGAAGAAACGTTCAGCAAATTGACTCCAAACTGCTGTTCAAATTCTTCCTTCAAAGTAGCCTTGAAATGCGCCTTTTAATTCTTCCTTCAAATTCTTCCTTCAAGCTCCGGTATTTCGAAATTAAACCAGCTTGAAACTCTCCTTAAAGTTTGCATTGAATCAGTCTATATTCCCCCATTATCGAGGTAATTAGTTACGCTTAATACGGTGCAACCATTTGAGGAATTATATGGACCGTGCACGCCAAAATCCATAGGAGTAGCATCGAAGAAAGACTTGGACAAAATCAATTCCCTAACGTTCAACTCTTGGACTGGAATATTCGAACCTTGACAACTTTGGTCATCCTCCCCTTCTTCAAAGGGAATTGCCCTCAATTCTTCATCATTATAGTACGGTGCTAGATCCCCCACATTGAATGTGCTTGAGACGCCATACTTTCCTCCCAAATCTACCTTGTAGGCATTGTCATTGATCGTTTCCACTATCTCAAATGGACCCTCGGCTCGTGGCATGAGCTTTTTCTTCCTTTGATTGGGAAACCTTTCCTTCCTCATGTAGATCCACACTAAGTCACCAACTTCAAAACTTCTCACGTTTTTGACTCTCTTGTTGGCTTGCTTCTTATAGATTTCATTAGCCTTCTCGATGTTCTTCCTTACTTCCTTGTGGATTTTCACCATGAACTCGGCTTGTTCCTTGGCACCTCCATGCACGAACTTGTCTCGAGGCAACGCTATGAGATCAATTGGAACATAAGGATTAGAACCATAGACTACTTCAAAAGGAGAATACTTTGTAGTAGCGCTAGGAGTTCTATTGTACGCAAACTCAGCATGAGCGAGTTTGACATCCCAATCTTTGGTGCTCTTACTAACCAAGGTCCTAAGCAAAGAACCTAGTACCCTATTCACCACCTCGGTTTGGCCATCGGTTTGGGGGTGATGTGAGGTAGAAAACAGCAACTTGGTTCCCATAAGACGCCACAAGGACTTCCAAAAATGACTTTGGAACTTTGTATCTCGATCTGAAACAATGGTGCGTGGGATTCCATGGAAACGAACAACCCCATCAAAATATAATTTCGCCACCATCGTAGCATCCTCGGTTTTATGACAAGGGACAAAGTGAGCCATCTTTGAAAAACGATCAACTACCACCATGATTGAGTCCTTACCTCCTTGAGTTCTAGGTAAAGCCACAATGAAATCCATGCTTATGTCTTCCCAAGGTCTCTCCGAAATTGGCAATGGCTTGTAAAGACCTTTTTGAAACACCATCTTTGCCCTTTGACAAGTAGAGCAACGCGCTACAACACGGTGAACAGTAGATAGCATATTAGGCCAATAAAAGTGAGCTTGAAGAAGCTCCATAGTCTTTTGAACTTCGAAATGGCCTGCTAGACCTCCTCCATGCGCTTCATGAATCAACAAGCTTCGAATTGGACATTTAGGAATGCATAACCTATTTCCCTTAAAAAGAAAATCATTTTGTAAGGAAAATAAATCATAACTACCATTCACGCATTTCTCCAAAATGACCTTGAAATCATCATCTTCCTTGTAGTATTCCTTGATTAATTCGAACCCAAGGACTTTCGCCTCAACGACTCCAAGTAAAGTATGCCTTCGAGATAAGGCATCCGCAACAACATTCGCCTTTCCACTCTTGTACTTTGATGAAAAGTTAAATGTTTGCAAGAATTCCACCCACTTTGCATGTCTCGAATTCAACTTCTTTTGGCCATGGATGAACCTCAAAGATTCATGGTCAGAATGAAGTATGAATGGTTGTGGTCTCAAGTAATGCGACCAATGATTCAAAGCTCGCACCATTGCATAGAACTCCTTATCATAGGTGGAATAATTCAGCTTGCCTTGGCTCAATTTCTCACTAAAGTAGGCAATAGGACGCCCTTCTTGAATCAACACGGCACCAATCCCCTTTCCGCTTGCATCACACTCAACTTCAAATGGTTTTGAAAAATCTGGAAGTGCTAGGATGGGTGTATTGCACATTTTTTCTTTGATCACTTCAAATGCCTTTTGAGCTTGAGGAGTCCACTCAAATGAGCCCTTCTTTGTGCACTCGGTGATAGGGGTCATGAGAGTGCTGAAATTACGAATGAACCTCCTATAAAAGGAAGCTAATCCATGGAAAGAACGGACCTCCGTGAGTGTCTTTGGACTAGGCCATGATTGAATAGCCTCAATCTTTCTAGGATCAACTTTCACACCTTCTTTTGAAATAATGTAACCAAGAAAAGTGACCTAATATAGCATAAAATTACATTTTTTAAGTTTTCCATACAATTTTTGTTCTCTCAAAGCCGTGAAAACTTTAAATAAATGTATCAAATGTTCGTCCCCACTTTTGCTATAAATAAGGATATCATCAAGGTACACCACCACGAATTTGCCAAGGAAAGGCCGCAACACCTCGTTCATCAATCTCATGAAAGTGCTAGGTGCGTTGGTGAGTCCAAATGGCATCACGAGCCACTCATACAAGCCGTGCTTGGTTTTGAAAGCGGTCTTCCATTCATCTCCTTCTCTCATCCGAATTTGATGATAACCACTTCTCAAATCAACTTTTGAAAACCACTTCGAGCCACTCAGTTCATCAAGCATGTCATCTAGTCTTGGAATTGGAAACCTATACTTGATAGTAATATTGTTAACAGCCCTACTATCAATACACATACGCCATGTACCATCCTTTTTAGGGACCAAAAGAGCAGGAACAGTACACGGACTCATAGACTCACGTACATACCCCATACTCATCAACTCCTCAATTTGTCGTTGCAATTCCTTAGTTTCCAAGGGATTACACCTATAGGCAGGTTTGTTAGGCAAAGGAGCACCGGGAATGAGGTCAATTTGATGTTCAATTCCCCTCAAAGGTGGTAACTCTTTAGGTAACTCATCGGGAAAAACATCCTCAAAATCCTTATCAATTGAGCCAATTTGGGGTTTTGACTCACAAAATTTTCGTGGACCTCTTTAGAGTACAACAAGTATAATTCCTCCTCACCATCAATTTCCCTTTCAAATTCCTTAAAGGTAAGCAATGACACCTCCTTTGATTGTTTAGGATTTTGTGAAAACCGCGGGGGTGGTAAGGGGTGCAATTTTTTTTGTTTTCCTTGGTGAGTTATAGTGTAAGTGTTATGGTACCCATCATGTTGAGATTTTCGATCAGTTTGCCAAGGTCTACCAAGCAAAATGTGACAAGCATCCATAGACACAACATCACACAGTTGAGTATCATGATAAGACCCAATAGAAAAACTAACCATGCATTGTTTCCTAACCCCTGTGCTAGAATTAGAGTCCAACCAACTCAACTTATAAGGATGTGGGTGATTTGTAGTTGTAAGACCAAGTCTAGTTATCAAGGTTTTGGAAACTGTGTTTGCCTCACTACCACCATCAACAATTAAATCACATACCTCGCCTTTAATCTTGCACTTGGTAATGAACATATGTTGCCTTTGCGGTGCTAAGGGTTCGTCAACGCGAGCTTGCAACGCCCTTCTCACAACCAGATTTGTTTTGGTCCCTTCTTCGGGGAAACATTGCTCTTCCTCCTCGTCCCCTTCAGTAGAATTCACGTCCTCCACTTCTTCAACCTCGAAATCCTCCCAATTGATAGTTTGGTTAGCAATAAGTTTTACCTCTTGTATGGTCAAAGCTCTGGAATTTGGACAATCCTTCTTAAAATGACCCCTTCCTCCGCACTTGTAACAAACAATGTCACTCATTTTGAAATCTTTCTTGTCCTTCTTAGGTGGATCGTTGGCTTTGACAAAAGAAGAACCATCCTTGACAGGGAAGGTTGGTCTTCGTGCCGCTTGAGGGGTGACAATCGGCTTCTTCTTCTTCCTTTTTGAATCAATCTTGATCACAAATTTGCAAGCTTCAGCAAAGGTTAAATTGGTGTAACCTTCAAGTTTGTCTTGCAACTCTTGATCCAACCCAGCCACGAAACGTCCCATCTTGAGTTCTTCATTCTCCGTGATTTCACACACTATAGAAAGTCTGTCAAACTCTTTGATGTAGTCCTCAGCCGATTCTCCATTTTGTTGCAAAGTGCTCCACTTCACATATTGACTTTGCTTGAAATTGTGAGGAATAAAACGATCCCTCATCCTTTTCTTCAACTTGCTCCAAGTAGAAATGGACGCCTTACCCCTAAGAGTACGCCCCCTTTGCTCTCCTTGTAGCCAGTTATCTCCATAGCCTTTCAACTTCACCTTGGCTATCTTGTATTTTTGGAACTCCTCTTGAATGTCCTTGTAATCGAAATACCTCTCCAAGGATTTCTCCCATTCCAAGTACTTTTCTGGATCAAGTGTCCCATCAAAGGCAGGGACGTCCACTTTGAGACTCCTATCTTCCCTCCTAGGTGGAGGGTCTTCGCCTTGATCTCTCCTATCATGCTCGTTCATGAGCCTTGCCATTAAGGCAGCAAGGTTCCCTTGTAGATTGGTGTTGGTCTCGGCCAACCTCTCTTGACTAGCAATGGATCGATTAAGAGCTTCCAAAGCTGTCCTCAAGTCTTGATTTTCTCCCATGGTATGTAGGTATTCGACCCCTTTGGAAGAATTTAAGAAAACTCTCCCCCTACCTGACGCGCCAAATGATGTGTAAGCAAGTTGAGAAACTTGTTTCCAAATGATCGGGAATGTGTGTTAAGAAGGTTTAGGGGAACTCTCACCCTTAACTTGAGGATATAACAGTGAGGAACACTCACTCACGTGTTTGGACGTAGTAGTGATTAGGGAACTCTAACCTATTCGACAACTACCAGTTTAAGTTTTGGGAACTCTCACTAAAACACAAACTCTTCAAATTGAGGTAACTCTCAAATTTGGAAAATAAACTTGACTAGCACAAGCCAAATTCGAATTATACACTCGTGTGTTTTTTCGCAAATTTCTGGAATCCCTTTCATTCATTATTAGCACGCTATTTATAGCTTTTCGTACATCATACTTAGCTAAAATAAACAAGAAAACAGAAAGCTGAAAATAAGGGTAGATTAAGTGGCTCATAACCGTCCAACCTAATCCCCATTACAACTATTTATTTCTCTAATTAAGAAAGCTTAAAACAAGGGAAGCATAGCTAAAAATAAGGGAAGAAACGTTCAGCAAATTGACTCCAAACTGCTGTTCAAATTCTTCCTTCAAAGTAGCCTTGAAATGCGCCTTTTAAGCCTTCATTCAAGCTCCGGTATTTCGAAATTAAACCAGCTTGAAACTCTCCTTAAAGTCTGCATTGAATCAGTGTATATTCCCCCATTATCGAGGTAATTAGTTACGCTCAATACGGTGCAACCATTTGAGGAATTATATGGACCGTGCACGCCAAAATCCATAGGAGTAGCATCGAAGAAAGACTTGGACAAAATCAATTCCCTAACGTTCAACTCTTGGACTGGAATATTCGAACCTTGACCACTTTGGTCATCTTGTGCACCCAGTCGGACGAATTGACTTACCTGTCCGCCTGGGGAACATGGGAGACGGTCGGCACATGACTATCCGTTTCCTAGTGGTTGAAGAGCTCACAGCTTGCAACCTCATCTTTGGCCGACCCACTCTAAATGAGTGTAAGGCCGTCATCATCCCTGCTCTGATGCTGCTCATGTAGGAGAAGGATGATGGAACAATCGGTTCCCTCAATGGGGACCAGAAGACGCCTCGAGAGTGTTATCTCCCGGACGTCAAGCCCACGGCCGCAGCATCCGGCCGGGGCAAGCAAATAATCGACCTTGACGATGTCGAGGAAGAACAGTCGGCCCCACCAGCCGGAAAGAAAAGAAAGACTGATCAGCTGGTGGTGGTCAAAAAAGAAAAATAATAGAAATCATTGACCGAGGAACGGTCGAATGATCTCCGTCCCTAGCTTGCTGGCGAACACATTGATATCCCTCTGGACGACAGTCGCCTAGAGCGGACGGTTAAGGTTGGGAAGGTTGCATTTGCTAAGCTGGGTGGGAGCCTACACCAGCTTTTTAGAGAATTTAAAGACATCTTTGCCTTTGAAATGGAAGAGATGCCAGGCATCAGCTCGGATCTCGCTGTCCACAAACTCGCCGTGGATCCTAAAAAGAAGCCCATCCGACAAAAGAAAAGAAACCATGGCGAAGAAAGAAGTCAGGCGGCAGCCGCCGAAGTTTAAAAGCTGTTGGACGCCAAGTTCATTCGGCCGTGCAATTTCCCTGAGTGGGTAGCTAATGTTTTGTTAGTAAAAAAAGCCGAATGGAACTTGGCGCATGTGTGTTGATTACACAGACCTCAACAAGGCATGTCCAAAAGATAGCTATCCACTTCCTAAGATCGACAGTCTGGTCGATTCAATAGCCGGACATGCCCTGATGAGTTTTATGGACGCCTATTCAGGTTTCCATCAGATCCCCCTGTGGAAAAAAGATCAAGAAAAGACGGCATTCGTCACTGATCAGGGGTTGTTCTATTATACGATGATGTCGTTTGGTTTGAAGAATGCGCCTGCTACTTTCCAACGAATGATTAATACGGTCTTCATTAATCAAATCGGAAGGAATGTAGAGGCGTACATTGATGACATGATAGTCAAATCCAAACAACAGGCGGATTATCTTGCTCATCTCTAAGAAACATCCGCCACACTCAGGCGGCACAAGGTCATGCTAAACCCAAAAAAGTGTGTCTTTGGTGTTGAGTCTGGGAAGTTTCTCGGTTTTTTAATTGACTAAAGGGGAATAGAGGCCAACCCTGAGAAAATAAAGGCGGTAATCGACATGCAGTCGCCCCGTACTGTGAAGGAAGTGCAAAAGTTAGCAGGTTGCCTGGCGGCCTTGGGGAGATTCCTCAGTCGGTCAGGCGACAAGTGTCTCTACTTCTTCCAGGCAATCAAAAAGAAGACTAACTTTGAATGGGGGGATGATGCAGAGGCGACCTTTCAAAAGCTGAAAACTCATCTGCACTCTTTGCCGAGGCTTGTTAGCCCTTTTCCCAAAGAGAAGCTCTTCATGTATTTAGCCGTCTCTGATCATGCTCTCAGTGCCGTTCTCTTAGCTGAAAGAGACGGCCTCTAGCTCCCGGTGTATTTCATTAGACATGTTCTTAGGAACGCAGAGCTTCGGTACCCCATGGTTGAAAATTTTGGCCTTGCCCTTCACATGGCTGTCAAGAAGCTAAAACCCTACTTCTTGGCTATAATACCCCGTATTTTTATACGTATTTTATTTAAAGTATATACACTTTATACGTATTTTGTTTAATATATATATTTTATAAGAGTATTTAAATAACTCTAGCATTTTAATTATGACGTTTTAATTATTTATCCCATGTAAATTTGGAATAATTTACAAAAGGAAAAGCCGTTTGATTAATTAATTAATATAAGTTGGGGTTTTATTTTAGGAAATTATGATTTTTAACATGTTTTAGTAGGGAAGGGATTAGGAAAAACTAAAGGAGGAATGTTAGGGTAAAAATGGGAGATAGAGAAGGGGTATAAATATCCCTCTTATGGGGAAAATCAACTTTGCCCAGAGTGGAGAAAACCCAAGGTAAACTTCTCTCTCTCTCCTCCTTATTTTTCTTTCTTTTTCTTTTCCCCTTCCCCTTATTTTTTTTTGGCTGCCCCTTTTCCCCCACCATTTCCAGCAGCGCACGCCGCCAGCAGCAGGTGGCCACCGCCGCTGCCAGCAGCCGGCAGCCGATGGCTGCCGTTTTTCTTCCCCCTCTTTTTACCCCTTTTTCGAGTATAATAAAAATAAACTTAGCTTTCTTATTTTAATTTAATCTATGCTTAGATCTAATTATAAATTATGAGTTTGGAGGTTTAATTTTGATGTTTGGTTATTGTAATTGTGAGAATTAATTTTCAAATTTTGTTTTTAATTAAAAAGCCCCAATTTTTGAAACCCTAGGTTCTTGTTTCATGATTTATTGAAAGATTATGATGTATAATAGGATAGGCCTTTGTTTTAAGTGTTTTAAAACCAAATTACAGCAAGTTTTAAGTATAATAAAGTGCTGGAATTTTATGTAGAACACTTGATATTGGGTTTCTTGAAGAAATTTTAATTACCCATTAATTGGGACTTAATTTATGGTGCTTAAAATATAATTTCAGCTTATTCTAATTAATTTATGAAGGGTTTTAAAATAGTATATATTGCTGGAAATTTGTTTAGAGTGGATATTAATACTCTATTATGGATTTAATGTGTAGGAGACTTTAAAGTAAGCGATTTCTACTAGTTGTGGAAGTTTTAATAACGTACTTAGCATAATTTGGTGATGAAGAATCATGCTAGGTACGTACGGGTACTTAGCATAATTTGGTGATGTAGAATCATGCTAGGTTTGTTTGTAATTGATTATAAGTAGAATCATGCTAAGGTTTATGTATGGAATTGTGAGTTTATGGTGTTTGTGATTGAATATTGAAGCATGAATTATTTGTGATTATTTATGGATTGGAAAATTGTATTTTTGGTATGTTGTGTTTGAACCACATTTTTATTTATGGCATGTTATAAGGCATGATTAATTAAACTACATGTTTAATTATGTTTGGATTATTGAAAAGGAATTTTATTATGGTTCAAATAATTTTTATTGATGCTTTAAGCATGAGGAAGAAGCTATATAAGTGTCTAGGTACACAAGGAATAAATTGTATGTTGGTGCCTTTGTGCACTTAAGGTGTTTTTAACACCGAGGGATAGGATTTTTGGCGCATTATGCGTTTAAGGTGT